GTTATGACAGGAAATTTTGATTTGCTAGAGTTCTATTTAAAGGGAAATGTTGCTTTGATAATCATCTATGAGTTGTGTATTATAATACAAAACTTTAGAGGCAAAATGTTTGTAAAAGGATTCATTACTGTGGATGTTTCTCTGTAGATGAGGATTACCAATGAGGCTATAGAAGGATCTTGAGGCAAAACAAATTACTTGGAGGTTGGGAGGGAATTTGCCAGCAAAGGAAAGGCCCAATAAAAGGAATGCTTCCTTTCAGGACAGGTGTCAACTGCAAATCCAGACTTCCTACGTAAAATATGTCTTTCATGGTTGATTGAAGAGGTCATTGGGAATCAAAGAATAAGCTAAGGTAAATGCACTCATGAACTGATTACTTCACATTTGTATTCTCTCATAACTGGGTTTTCATTTGACACAGGGTGTCATCCAGCTCTCACTGAAGTAAGTGGAAAGGCTCCTTTTAAATTCAGTGGGAGTTGGATCAGGCGCTTTTGTATATCATCTTCACCTACCTCAGCTGTCAACATTTTCAGTTCCTCTCATAAAAACGACAAGGATAAAACAGGAGTTAGACTGAGAAGGAGATTTTTATATGTTTCAACATTTCTTGTATTTTGAAGCTGAAATATTGCCAGCTAGCTGATATGTGTTTTCAGATGCAGTATGAGCTTATGTTTTTTGTTTTGCTTTTGCAACAATGGTACAATAAATGATGGTAAGTTTTATGGGTATGTAAGATTGAAAACTGTCTCATAAGTCCACCCAATTAGGCTTAATCAATTTTCACCTTTATAAATTTTTGGACAGAATCATTATCAGTGTTAGTTTTTTTATTATATACAGTATATGACAGACAATAAAACAGGTAGGGGCCCAGGTTACTGAGTGCCAGGGTACCAGGAAGCTCTCCTGTACTTCACTATAGTTGTTTCAGGCCCTGGTTTGGTTTTCCCCCTCAGCCAGGTCCAGTAATCTTGTAGCTTTCCGTATTATGTAATCATTAGCTTTCCTCCAATCAATGTCATTTAGCATTACACATACCCATAATACATTTTCCAAACTTGCATTATTTGTTTTTAATGTTCCATTCTATATTGTAAATCACGAACAGTATATCAGCATTACACCAACACAATTCAGCATTAAACTAACAGCACATAACCCTTATTCACTACCATCCAGCAATTTTCTTCAGATTTTAAAATCATAGTTCAGTATATGTAGATCATCCTAAATGATTTATTAACATAACCTTTATTTTTTTAATAGGAAAGTTATAGGGAACAGTGTGACCTTCATGTCAACATGTTCTTATCTTTTCCAAACAGGGGTTTTCCAGGTACTTTTTGCTCAAAATTTAGCATCACACTTGTCAATCATTAAAAAGCCTTGTAATTTTCCCTGTTGCGTTTTGAGGTGCTTTATTCAAATTAGGGCCTAAATATTTAATTGTTCCCCAACAGGTATATTTAGATTTATACTTGCATAATTCTGTCCACTTCCACTTGATGACCACGAAAAGGTCTAGCATTGCGCATTTCAGTATTTCCTTGTTGTAAGATTGCACAATAATTATAAAGATAGTCAATAGGGAAATGAGATCAATGATGTGTGCAGTGTGTACAATGGTGTTGCTCTGTCTCTTCTTTTGTAAGAATAAGATAAGAGAAAACAGGCAGACACAGCAAACAGATGGGGGCGGGGGAAGCAGGAGGTAACAGTGTATGACTGGTGTAACAAACAGAGCTTGACCATAATACCTGCATAAATGAACATTCAGTTTGAAGCTGTGTGCATGGGCAGGCCAAAATTACATAGATGTTTTGTTGGTGTGTGCTACTCGTTCCAGAGGCTGACACCATATCCAAATTTTTCCTAGCTTCTGCCAGCCTGGGAGCAGATGACTAAAAGTCAACTTGTCTCCCATATGTCTGCGAGCAATAGGCCACAAAGGTGACAAGGCAAACATAATCAAGTTCTGCAAGAGATAGTAGAGGCAGAGTCTCTCTGTGCTTAGGGGAAGGCTGATATATCAATACACTGATTATCAATGTGGCAATATGTTAAGCTCAAAAGAATAAATTAGATACAATGGGGGTTCTCAAACGTCACGACCCGCTTCTGACAACAAAAATTACTTCATGACCCCAGCAGTAGGGACCAAAGCATGAGCTCACCCAAGCCCCCGCTGCCCCGGGGGAGGGGAAGGTGGGGCCTCAAAGCTGAAGCCCAATGGGGCTCAGGTTTTGGCCCAGGGTGGTAGGGCTCGGGCTTTGGTTTTGGCTTTAGCTTTGGCCCTGGGCCCCAGCAAGTCAAAGGCCAGCTCTGGTGACCCCATTAAAAGGGGTCATGACCCACAGTTTGAGAACCACTGAGATAGAATGAGTTGAACTTTGGCTACCCTTCACTACAAGTCGGGAGAGGAAAAATGGGTAACTATCATAACATTAGTTCCTAATTTTTTTCTATAATGGAATCACATTTGATAGAAAGTTCCTCACTGTTAGATCTCTGCAGTAGTGAGTGAATCACAATTACATAATTGTACTACTCTGAGGTGTCTGGAAGATTATGAGAATTATGTGAGCCTCCAAACATCAATAAGTCCCTTTAATAAAAAAGGAATTATTTCTAATCAGGGTATATTACTGCGACAGGACACAAAGCAGATATGTACTATAATGATAAATCTATGGCACATGTGCCTGAAGTGATGTTTAATGCATGTGGCTCTAGACCTCTGAGGTGGCTACTGGAAGCAGTATACAAGAAAAAGAATACTTAATTCAGAAATATCAAAATATCTACTCGTGTTTGATGTACTGCAATAGCTTATGATTCACTATCTACATTTACTGGAGGAAGGACTATAGCTAGGAACTGGTCATCTCTCATTACTCTAAAACAAATCCTCATTGATACTTTAACCCTATGCACCTCAGATTAGTACTGATTGTTGTCTTCTTGTCTTTCATCTTTGCTGCCAACTTGCTGGATCTAGTTTGGAGTTCAAACCCCAATTCTCAGAGACCTCTATTTAGGAGGAGTAAACTTGTTCAGATAAATCAAAAACTTCCTGAGTCTTTGCTTAAAACTTAAAACTTAAAGCAAATCAAAATCCCATCCTTCTTAGGGAAGGAAAAAGTTCAGCTACAAATTCCTTTGAAAGGAACCTTGTACGTTTTTTTTATTTTGGGGGTGGGGAAGGCAGGACAGGAAGCATGAATACTAAATTACTGAGAGATCATTTTATTGCATTTTTATTCTTTTGTGAATGCACCCTAGTGGTTGGTTGCTGGCACCATGTTGGGAGGAGCCTCCGAAGAATCTATGCATTCTCCTCTTTTAGCCAGATTAAGATCTCTACACTATTATTACTACTTAAGAAAGAGGTTCAGAAAAAGGATATCAAGATAATTGTTGTTGTCTCTAGAATAACAGAGGAGGTTCTGCCTGTACTAGAAAGAAGGAGGATCTGGTTGGCACAAGTAAGATTAATAGAAAAGGAGAGAATAGTGGTTGTGGAAGTTTCATTTGATTTCTAAGAAGCAATTTTTCAAAAGATTTACTGTATTTTATAATGGCAATTACCCTTCAAACTAGTTATGAGTCAAATCTAACAATCCTAACTCAGTCAAAGCCCCAAGTATGAGCTAATGGAAGTTTTGTCTGCATAAGTAAGGCGCATTTGGCCCTGTGCCATTATTTAATTTATGAAGAACAACATTCTATTGTATACACATAAGTTGACAGCTTTTCTTTGCTGTTCTAAATTGTATTTAGAGACAGATTAATTTAAAATGTTTTCTTTAGAAACTAATGATAGGAAATCTATTTCATTTTGCCAAACACTGTGTGTGGGTTTTGGAAGAACCTTGTAAAGTAATGAGAACCATGTATTATATACAAGGACCACCTTTCAGTGAATGAAAAATGTTAAAGTCTGAGAGGCCTTTCTTAGTCTTGGTATGGAGCTGCCAGCATTGTCAGTAAAATTTATTCACACTGTTCAAGTGCTTATGAAAGCTACGGAGCAGCATGATCTGTAAGTAGTTGAACAGACAATACTCCAGAGCTTCGAGAACAAATAAAAAACCACTATTACAGGCTGCCTGCATCATAACAAGAGCTTTCTAGGAACTCTGCCAGTCTAAATAAAACACAGTCTTGCTGTAATTTTATACAGAAAAGAGGACTAAGGCTACACCATACCCTACACAAATGTTTCCCTCCCACTTTTTCCATAGCCAAGTGATAATCTGACCTGAGGCGATGTATGCCAAGTTTAATTATGCTTTCATATTCTACTTTCCATTAACAATTATACTTCAGCTAACTGGTTACACTGCTAAATTTCACTTTCCAATATAAACATGTTTGTCCTAATGTCTGATTTACTTAACTCATCTGAAAAAAATTATATGTCCTATACTATACATTTGATCCAATAAACCCACAATGGGTATATGCTGGCCAAGAGGAGATAATCCATAGAGTTTAGCCATTAATATTATAACACTGAATTGGTACAAACAGTTCTTAAGGCTGAAATCCAGACCCTGGTGATCTATGTGGAGCAGTTATGCCATTCCCTCTTCTCTGGGGTGAGGAATAGGAAGAGCCACAGAGTGTCAGATCCTTGGCCCTACAACCTTCCATCCATGCATACTGCTAAAGCAGAACTCTGCACTGGAAGGGCCTACTTGTTCCCTATCAGCTCCCCTGCATGCAGCCCCAGCCTTGCACAACAGAACTGTACCAGAGGCCCTCACCAGCCACAGAGGTGGGGGTTAGATTTGCCCCTTAGGGTATGTCTACTTAGAATTAAACATCCATGGCTGACCTGTGTCAGCTGACTTGGGCTCACGGAACTCAGGCTACAGAGCTGTAAAATTGCAGTGTAGATGTTCAGGCAAGGAGGGAGGGTCCCAGAGCCCAAGCTCCTGCCTAAGCCTGAATGTCTACACAGCAATTTTTAGCTCCTCAGCCTAAGCCCGCTGACCTGGGCCAGCCACAGCCGGGCTCTGAGTCTTTTATTCCAGTGTAGATGTACCCTTAGTGAGTTGATAAATGACTGGTATTTTGACAACAAAATCATTTGAAATATCTGGGAAACTTTTGCTTGGAATATACTCATGAGTATGTCCTAGCTATTTTTAATGGACTAAATTCTGAGGGCTTTACTCAGTGTTTAGTCAGATAAATTCCTGCTAAGTGTAGTAGAAGTGTATCTGAGTAAATACATGACAAGCCCTCAGGATTTTGCCCCATGACTTTATATGCAAAGAGTTTTATCTCTTTAGCATTTTGTATTGCCATTTAACCTGCGTTTCCACTATAAATATCCTGAATGCTACAAACAACATTTCTGGATAACATACTTTCTAGAAACATATCATGATTCTAGTATCTCGGACATTTTAAATTGTCAGGCTATCACCTGTCATACATGTTGTCATCCTGAACAAAGATTTTCAGAACACAGTGGTTTAACCCATAAAGTCATTTTTGATTGGGGAATGACAAGCAGGATCCATTTCTTTAGGTTTCCAGTTAAAATGTTAAAGAATAGACTTTAAAAAATAGGAACTGCTCTCTGTATTGCTAACCCTGAGCATTCAGAAATCATGAGACTATCTAAAAAATAATGAAATTTTAATAAATTGTGTTGTTTTCTTATTTGCATTCTGGCTTTTGTCTTGTTAAGCTCTGCTCTGCAACTATGAGGATTGGAAATATTTTTTTAATGAAAGAAGACATGATCATATAACATGACTCCAGGAGCAGGGCTTTATGAAAAATAACAAATATTGTGAGTCTTGCAGTAAAATCAGGAGAATCGGCAATGCTGTATTCTTCAAGCAAGCTATAGCCTTTTTGTATTTTGTTTGAAAAAAAAACAAATAATTATTTAAACTGGATCAGCTAATGTATTATTCTTAGTAAACCAGCTTAAGCAGAAATTGGCTTTCATTTAAGTGAGAAATGAAAAGATTTATTGACATGAGAGGTAACTATTTTGCAGAGGCAAAGCCAAAGTTTACATTTATTTAGAAGGACACTAAATCTCCAGGTTCTCCTAAACATTAAGTCAATATATTCCATGTATTATTTTTTCTAATTTATTTTATTACCATAAATTATAACTAAAAAGGAGATACACACCATAATGCCTTAGGATATGAAAACACTCCTCTGAACACCTCAGGCAACAGCCTAAGTCAGCAGATGGGCTTTGTACCATGGCCTCAGTGTTAACAAACCCTGGTGCTGTCAGACAAGTGGGAATACAAGTTCCACAACCAAGGATTCTCTATAGGAAATACCTGCTACCAGTAGATATTCAGATCTAGGGTCTGTTAGTGAAAATGCATTTGCTGATGTTCGCTATGTGGTATCCTTTTCTGTGAACCCTCAGATTGTGTAACTGGGGAAGATGACTTGTTTGACTTTACTCCTTTCCAGGTATGTTCCGAAACTGAATCGGGTAGAAATCCCTGCTATGATGTTTAGAATGCAAAGCTGTGTTAGACCCTGCACATCTTATAAAACGCACAGCAGCCATCTCTAGCACTTTTGTAACGTAAAAGGGTTACAATGATTCAGGCGAAGGCTCTTGTGGAGCTCTTGCCTCAGCTCATACACACTTTGAGAACACTTTACTCTACACTGTTAAGGGAGCCAATAACCACATTTCAGCTTTTTACCCACAGCTGTTTCTGCTATAGAGCGCTTAAAAAACTATTTGCAAGCATTATGTGATTGAGGAAAATAATATTTTTATCAATTCTCCTTATATTCCAAAATCAGGTAAACCATTTTTCCTCAAAATTTAATTTTTTAAAAAGTCACCTGTAGGTGCAGGCCAAAACTGAAAAATTTCAGCCTCAAAAGTAGATGTTTTATAAAGTTAGCAATGACTGAAAACAAGGGGCTAGACTAGAAAACATTATAAAACCTTAAATATAATGGTCACTGTTGCTCCTGCTATCATAAAATATAATCTAATAAAGAACAAACAAATGATTTCTTATAAATCAATGCTAAACATTAGCATTTTTCAAATAAAAATCCTTTTTCATTTTATTAAGAAACTAATGACTTACAGTTGATATTTCTAATGATGTTTTTTTTCTCCGTACATCAGGAAAATAATGGAGTATAGAAACTATTTTGGTATCATAAATGTTCAAACTGCACTTTTATGAATCTAAAAAAAATTCTCTTTGAAACCATTTAATGAAAAAGAGAAGGCAAAGCAGGAGGAGAATTATGTGGCACAGCCTTATCATTCTCAGTTTCATTATGTTCACATTTCAATGAAATCCCACAGAAGAACCAAAGGGGCTGATTCTGACTTTCCTTATATCTGTTCTGCATTGATGTAACTCTACTTAGTTCAATGAATTACTGCAATTTACATTGCTACATGTAAGCTTATAATTAGGGCCAAAATGTGCCTCTCTCCTTTTTTTTCACTTAACATTAGGCAAAATAAAGAGCATTCATAATGTAACTCAGTCAAAAGTGAACACAAGTACTTATAGAGGAGAGAGTGTATGTCTGCCAGTAAAACTTGGGCCTTGTAATATGTAATTAACACAAATGTGTAGTGATGCACAAAAGTGTGCACTAAAACTTGAAAAGTAAAGGTGAAATCCTGACGCCGTTGAAGTTTTGGCACTGATTTCAATGATGCTAAGATTCATCCTGGGTATTTGGAAATGTGGATGGTGTTAAAATTTGCCAACCTACAGAAAGAAATGTAAAATTACTTAAATACACCAAGTATGGATGCCTGCCAGTTGCTATCATTATCTAAGACATTCCATGCAGTAGAGTGATCATTGTTAATAAAAAAGTGTTAAATTGTGAACTTAAATCAAATTATCTGTGCATAGCTGCCAATAGTAGATAGATGTATGTGTTTGAGGGTCTTAGCTGCAGCTTCCATTCAAAATAGTAGGCAACTAAGGATGTTCTTCTGTTACAAAAGGTGCATTAGAAGAGGACCTAGGCTAAAATATTTCTAAAAGAAGGGTTGTATAGACTCTCAAAAGTGGGATGTTTCAGCCATAATCCACAATTACTTGGATAGTGCTATTGATAACAAGTGTAGCTGTGCCAAATGTGCAGGTATTTCACCTGTTTGGTGGACTAAACATTACAGAACAGTTTACTGAAAAGCATAGTCTCTAGTAGAGATGGGGGAAAAATAGGGGGAAGAGGGAAATTAACCATCTGTCTTTCATTTTCGTATCAACATTTTGATTTTTTTTTAAATTCATCCAGCTCTACAGCTGGTTAAAAATGAGGGGAGGGGACATTGTCTTCTTGACAATGTGTCTAATTTTTTTGCCATATTTGGCCAAACTTTAGAACTCTGTGGGAGTTTCTACCCATTTCTGATTTTGCACATCTTCAACTACATCTCCCAAGGTTCTGCTGCTCCTTTTCTGTTGTTCTCCTCAGCTTCAACTTCTGCTTTTTCCACAGCTGCTCTGCTCCCTGACTGCCTTCCTGTGCTGGATAAGATGGTGGAATGGGGGCAACTGTGAGTCTCTCACCCCTCTCACCAAATGTGGGGACTGGAGACAGGAGGGATTTTCTTCACACATCTTTCCCCAATCCGAGCCCTGGTAGGGGAGCAGTTCTGGGAATGGAAGAGGAGGGATAAAGGACAGTCAGTTACAGGATTTGCCGTGTATAACCATAGGAAAACTGAAAGGCTATGGGAAAAACCTGTAAATTGGCAATCCTGGAAAAGACCCGAGGAGATGCGTGTGAGGACCAGAGAGAAGGAGACTTGAAGAGGCAGGAACCCTGTGGAGGGGTAAGCTGCTTAATGCCTGAAGAGGTTCAATGGAGTAAGAGGTTGCTTGTGAGGTATGCACTGAGTAGTGAAGACTTAGACCTATGGTGAAAACAGGTCAAGGATTGGTTGACCTGGGATGAGAGAAGTGGTTTGGCCTCAAGACTTGATGTGTGTACCTGCTCTTCTGTAGGGGTTCCAGACGGGGCTTTTTGAGAATGTGGCGGGAAGACCCAGTTGTCACTCCCTTGCATCGAAGGGGAAAGTTGCACTGATGCTGGGTAGAGCATTCTGGCCCTGTTTTGTCATATTTGGACTTTGGAAGGAGAGGACTATGGTTGGTTTGGTTGGAGGATCAGACCAAATTAACTACCAAATTGAAGAGGGAAAACTGAGGTGCACACAGGTAAAAACTGACATAGTGGCTATCCCAATGCCTGAGCAGGTAAGCTAGTGACAAACTCTGGAGAATGTAGGGCATATTTTTTTGGAGGATTACCTAAAACGGGTGAATCATAGGTTAATCAGTGAAGGCCATGCTGCCCTCAATATGTTCATGAAACATGCTATTATGTCATTTGGGAGGTCACCATTCAGCTTGAGGGTATTGTATGGTTCGAGGCTCTTGTCAGCCCATGCTATGACTCTGAGGGCAGAATTTGGTCTTTTATGTGTAAAGAACTCAGGATTAGGCCCCAAATATATAATTTAAAGACACATCTCTTTAAAAAAATTGACATCCAATATGTTTATCAATCCAACATGCACAAAAACCTTTCTACAGGCCATCAAAATAGAGCATCTTCAAAGAGTGAAATGCTTCAACAGAAATAAAAGTATTGAGGCCAAGTGCACAAATCAATTTAGAATTAAAAATAAGTGTACTTAATAAGGAAATGCAATTATTTGATCTGTGAAAAGAACAAACATGGTAGATTAACGTCCTCTGAATAGTAAATCTATAAACCTTTGTTGCAATAAAACAAGAAAACTGATTAAAGATTAAAATTCATTAAAATTAGAAATGTTCATTATATTCAACTATTCTTTACAAATTTCTCCTAATGTAGAGCAATCTGGTAGATGTTATTGACAAGTTAGTATGTTACTTTTCTTTTTTAGCTTTGTTTAGAATCAGCAGAGTTGAAATAACTCAGGCAGCTAAAATACCTTTTACAGATTTATTTTCTGCTACAAAAAGAAATGGATTATCAATGTCCAATACAAAAATGCTGTTCAAGTAAGATGGGTCACAAAAAGTGACCATCTGTCATACATTATTTTAGTGTTAACCTCTGCCTCATAAAATAGGGCCTTCCCTACTCTCTTGTGGCAATGTGAAGCTATTTCAATTCTATTTACACCCTCTGGGCATCAGCATGATTTGGAAATCTAATAAAGTAAGTCATCAAAGAACAACCCATGTGCCCAGAATTTGTATTACTATACCACAGGGAACCCAAGTGGTATTATCCTTTAACCATATGTCTTCTAAAGCTCCATTTATTGCCATAAAAATCAATGTTGTTGTGGTGGAAAGTGCCAAATAAGGCTAAACAAAAAATGTTACACAGAATACTAATAGTGTGCTGAAGTTCTTCTCCCAAATGAACAAAAATGCACAGTTCACCAGAAAAATATCACAGTATATTTTTGAATCTTCTTAAACAGATATCAGAGTATGCACAATTCCAGTCAACTTGTGTACATTCTGAATCCACTATCATCACATTAAAGACAGCAGAAATATCATAACTGAAGGCCAAACTTTTTCATATTTAGATTCTTTCTAGGAAAGAGACTAGAACCATGCCAACTTGCAGCATTTCTTCTTGAGCATTCCCTCACAGGAAGAAGGGGTTTGGTTGGTGGTGAGTTTTGCTGCCTTGCCCCGACAAGAATTGGCAAGCGGCGTGGGGGAGAGGAGTGTCAGCCCTCCACATCCACTTAGCTGCTGAGATCTGTGGGAGCCCTGTGTCTACATGAAACTTCTAGGCCTACCGGCTCACCTAGTGAAAAGGAAACTCAGACTTTAGTGTTCACAAAGGCCCAGATTCTCAAAGGTATTTAGGTGTCTCTCTGCCTCTTTATGTGGCAAAGTCCACCATTTATGTCCCATGGAAATTTTCAAAGCCACCATTTAGCTGCTGCCTAACCCTTTATGCATCTAAGTCCCTTAGGTGCCAAAGTTTCCACCAGTTGGCATTTGCAAAGCTGCCCCACAGCTAACAAGATGCACTGAGCCCTAGCTCAAGCCAAAGCCCTAGAGGCTCCAAAGCAGGATTTTCAAACTATGCGGGAGACCATCTATTTCATCACCATGGCCTGATCCTGTAGACATGTTCTGAGGCATGCCTAAGACCTGATATTTGTCATAGCCTGCATCAGGAGGGCCAGATGCAGGCCACTGATATGTAGGGGGCAGCAAAGTATCCTCACAAAAGACAGCCAAGGGCCACAGAAGAATATAGTGCAAACATGAGAGAGGTATCGAGTGTTAGCAGGAAACAGAGAGAAAGTAGGTAAAAGATAAAGAGAGAGACTTTCAGCTCTAGGGCACAGGCTATGGGCTGACCTGGCTTTGGCACCTAACTCCAGGAGAAGGTTCATGGCTGAGGATCCCAACTGAAGGGAGGTGACTTTCTCTGGCATCATGTCAGTCACATGGGCACCTAAGCCCCTCTCCTGGGCATTTCATTCCTTGGCAGCTTAGGCGGTTCAGTGCTCAGTTGGCTGGCTTCTGACAATCTCTTCCTGAGGCTCCTAACTCTCTCCATGCATTTATGGGGAGCCTGGGTGCCTGGATTCAGGGTGAAAATTCCACTGGGTGGCAAGCCACTTAGGAGTTGGGCATTGCAGTGCTGAGTGGAGGAACCCCTAAATAGCCTTAAGGATCTGGGCCATAGTGTCCCTGAGTGCCAATGCCACTACCTCTCTCCAGTGCTGCCTTTCGGTGCAGGGGAGTGCCACGCCATGGTGAGGAAATCAGCATAAGTGAAGCTTAAAGGTTCAGAATTAACTTATACTAGAATTCCCTGTGGGGGGTGGAGTCCCAGCCAACCACCCACAGAGCCTGGCTCCTTCAGACCATACATGGAGGGACTTCTGTGAACAAAACGACGGAGAAGCTTGCCACAGAGCTCCCAGTCTCCCCTTCCTGGCCCCAGCCCAGATCTGCTTGCCTCTGCTTGTAGAAGTAGAGTTGAAGATGTTGGTTTTAATCTATAAAGTTTTAAATGTCTTAATATTTGCCTACTTGAGAGACATGTCTCTTCCTGTGTGTGTTTGCTACAGCTGTAAATGGTGGAGGTGTTTGGCTGTAGCCTTGTCGGTTTGTAGGGGAGAGTGGGGGCTGGCAGGGCATTCTTTATGAGGGCTCCTTTTACTTTGGAATTCATTCCGTCTTCTCTTGTCAGAAGTGGTCCAAATCTGTTTTCCTTCAGGTTATGGTACAAAATCTTTTTCAAGACTGTTGGGGATGGGGAGGGGAAAGAGAAAGAAGAGAGAGGCGGTATATTTGATGCTAATGAGGTATCTCTTGTTTTTTAATTTTCCAGTAGGTTAGTTTCTCTGAGCAATGGGGTGAAGACAGGCCACTGAATTTATTGTGGATTGTTAGGTTTTGTCTGTTTTGTTTGATATGAAAGTTATGGCAAGGTGCCTAGAGTCTGAAATAGGCTCTTTTAAATTAATTAATTATCAGAGTTGTTTATTCGTACTGAGTTAACACCCAAAGGCCCCAGTGTGGATCAGAACCTCATTGCACTACAGGCTATACAGATGCACAGGATGTTCGGCTACTACAGTGATTGTTTGTATTTAGATAGACAGAGCCCCTGTCCCCCAAAAGCTTGCAAATTAATTTGAAACCAGATGCAACAAGACTGTATTAAAAACAGTAGGAGGGATAGAGGGAATGGATATAAACGGTAGTAAATACGTAAATAAAATACAATTTGCCCTTTAATCCAGAACAATTCAAAGGCAGCTTTCAGAAATATTGTTCCATTCTCATTACACATTAAATCCTAATGCAAAAATATTCTCTTTTTAGATATGCCATTATTATATGTAGGCTCTTTGAATACATAAGTATATAAAATAGCTCTAATTCCAAAGAAGAATTTTTGACAATCTCTTTGGTCCTCTTTGTATTGTACACAAACATTTATGAAACACCATAGTCTCAATGTTCTTCATAAATATTAATGACAAATGTGTGGTGTATGTAGAGCGGTTGAATAATGCAAAATCAGCATTTATTGAAATTCTGAAAGATTGTCAGGTTCAACTATGATAGGCAGTTTGATCAGTAGTTAGAGGACTGGGAGTCTGGACTCATAGGTTCTTTTCTTCACTGTCAGGAGTTCTATGATCATGGATAAGTCCATTAGGGTAACACTTTCAAAAGTGCCTAAGTACCAATTTCAAAGTAATTTGGACACTTAGGGCTAGAATCACAAAAGGACTTGGACAGACAACTGCCACTTAAGTCATGTAAATACAAACTTAAGTGCCACTGGCATTCACAAAACTCCTGCTCAGCTGCCATCTAACTCTAGAGGTGCATAAATTCCCTAGGCGTTTCCACTGTTAAAGTCAATGAGGTGACTAGATTTCAGCAGCTGAACATGTGCACAGCAGTCTAACTTCTGGCACCGCCCAGCAACTCAGCACCTAACACTCAATGCCATTCACAAATTAGGTATTCCCCATTTACCTTGATGTTGGGGCTCAATCTGGTAGACATGCTCAGAACATGGGGGGGAGACAGGGAGGGGGACGTGGCAGCAGTGGTCCCTTTAATAATCTTTGCCTGGGGGATAGATCATTCACCTGGG